CGTCTCTTGCCCCGCTCCGGCCGCGCTCCCCTCTCTGCCCCATCCCAGAGGATGTCTTGGATGAGGAAGGATGTCCGGCGCCTGGAGGAGACGGGGATGGTCTGCTGGGGTGCCGTCGGGATGCGGCTCATCCCTCCTGGGGTGCTGCTGGGTACTCTCTGCCTCATCCTCCTCTTCCTCCCCCTGCCCAGAGGCACGTTGCCTTCCCCCCCCTCCCGGCTCGGTATTTATAGGGCAGGCAGCCAAGCCTCCCGGGCCTGATTGGAGATCCCTGGGAGATCCCTGGCAGGAGTCTACGCCCTTCGGTTGTGTCTTGGCTCCCGTGTGGGTTTTCTGGCTTCTTGCTTCTCCCTCTTGCTCGGGACACAGAGCCATGGGGTCACCCCCGAACCCCAGCCCCCTCCTTTGCTCCCCTCCTGCTCCCTTGCTGGGAAATCACCCCCAAGCTTTTACAAGGAGAGAAGGATGCCTAAAGCAAGTTTTTTTTTTTTTTTTTTTGGGATCAAAATGCTCCCATGGTTGGGGTTTCACCAGAGGAGGGGGGAGCAGCATCACTACCCCGGAGGGATGCTCTGCACGGGGCCGGATTCTGAGCCCCAGCCCCAGGTGCTCTGCCTGCTCCTGGTGATGGAAATGGTTTGTGTCCTGGGGTAGTCCCTGGAGCTCGTTAGGGAAATAGTGTTTTCAGGGGGGGAAAAAGTGAAAAAAATAAAAGGATTGGGTTTTTTTGTGTGTTTTGAGGGTTTTCTTCAAAACCATCCACTTTGATGCACTTTCGGTTTGTTGGAAAACGAGGAAAAATGTCAAAGATATTTTCTTTGGGCTTTAAAATGAAAGTTAAGATAGAGCAGAGGGAGCGGCTCCAGAGGCAAATGCTTGCCCAGAGAGGGGCAGAGGGTTCCCATGGACACTTAAGCCCAAACCTCAGACTAATTCCTCGAGCAGCTGTGGAATGGGGCAGCATTTATTTAAGAAGCCTCAGCGCCTTTACACCCCATCCTGCAGGACCCTGGGTTCAAAGGCACCCGAAAGGAGCAAAACCTTCCCGATTCCTGGAAAAACCATGAGTCGAGCTCTCTATTGTAACAGGTTTTCTTTTTTTTTTTTTTTTCGAGTATCCACTTTGTCTGTAGTTGTTCTTCTAGAGTTTCTGTTTGGAAAACAACACCCCCCAGATGTGGGCAGCGGATGATTAAAAAATCACTTTGCAAAGCAATTTGGGGGGCAAGCCCCGAGGGAGCAGGATGCGGCTCTGTGGATGCAGACGAGCAGCATCCCTGGGAACCGCAGGCGATGGATGTGTATATACAGTGACCCCCTATAGCCCTGGTGCCTGCAAACTGACTTTTCTGCTGGAATAACGAAGCACTAACCAGCTCTCCTGTTCCTAAAGCCTTCACTCAAACCCAGCTCCTCTTCCTCAGCTGAAAAGCCCGGGTGTGGGGGTTTTTTTGTTTTTTTTTTTTAATTTTAAAAACTTTTTTCCTTCTTTGGTTTCTGGGGGTTTTTGGGGTGAGTTTCGTGTGATTTGCCTCATTTTAGTGCTGAATCTCAAAGGAAAAACTCTGTTAACACTTGCAGGTGAGCCCCTGCATGGAGGATGCTGCTGCTTCTCCCATGCAAAGACCCTGCCGAGTCCCCCGGCTGCTCCAAAGCCGGGACAAAGCTGATGTGGGGAGATACCCCCGAGTGAGTGTGGATGGATGGAGGGGAGGTGAAGGGGCAGCACCCAGGGTGCCTGTCGCCTTCCCCAGCCCTTCCCAGGGTCCCGCCGGAGCTGCAAAGCCCCGGAGCGGCGGGACGGCCAGTGAGCTATCTCACCCAGAGGGATTTTCTGGTTTGATTGGGATGTCAGGGATGTCCCATTTGGGAAGTGATGGGGCTGAGGGGGATTAGAGATAAAAGCTTCATTGCCTCCTGCAAGTCTTTTTTTTTTGCCAAACACTGGGAGGATAAGAAGCTGTCGGGAACGGAGCGGGGAGGAGGGGACAGCAGCCTAGAGTGGGGACGGAGGTTGTGACATTTTCCCCGTCCCGTGCGGTGGGAGATGCGTGCGGGATGCTGGCTGGCTCCGTCGCTGGGATATCGTGGCAACGTGGTGGAAAGGTCTCTGTTAAATGAACATTTTGCAGCAGTTACTGATATTTGTGTGGTTTTTCCCCTCCCTGATAGGAGTAGAGCCTGTGCTGGGGGGCCGGTGTAACGGGGTCTCGCTGGGTTTATCCCATGGGGCCGTGGGTTGGTGCCGCCTCTTCGGGATGTGGCTGTGCCCCTCTTTGATCAATCTTAAGATTGATTTTGGTTTTTTATCCTTTGGATCAGATTTTGATGCTCAAACGCAGGTTGTGGATAGGAAAGGTGGAAATACTACGTGAGGAATGGAGAGTGGAAACACAATTTCATCAGTTTGGTTTTTATTTGCAAATAATAATAATAGCAATAAAAATAATAATTAAGACAGAAATGAACACCTGTGCTGGGAGATATTAAGAAATATAAATCAGAAATGACTCTCAAAAGATTAGAGGAACTCGAAGCATTAAATAGCGTTCATAAAAAAGTGAAAGCACAGTGATGTGCCCGGACCCTGTTTTCCAGTTGTCCTTGGGAAGAAAACCAGTGTTCCCACCCTCTCGATGGCCACGCACTGGCGTCCTGGGGGAGCAAACCCTCCGGGAGCAGGAAGGGCCAGACTCTGAAATGTTTAAATAAATAAATGCTCTCAGTCATTGTGTCCCCAAAGTCGCGGTGCTGGAGCATCCCTGTCTCTCCTGCCCTCCCTTGGCAGAGATGTGACCACGGGAGGTCCTGGAGGGGACAGATGTGCTGGATCCACCGTCCCGGGTGGCAGAAACCCTCCGGATCCCACTCCCATCCCAACAAAGGCTGGGATCTGGGGTGGAGGGGGGGGCTTTCCTTGGTGGTTTTTTTCGGGTGGTCCTGACCCCTGTGGCCACCTACCAAGCCCTGACCCCTGCTTGCACGCTGGCTTGCAGGGACGTCGGCTGGTGCTGAGCAGCGGGGGCCATGCCCAAGCTCCCGTCCAAGGCAGGGCTGTTGGGGGGCACCCCGGCATAGCCCCCCCCGTAGCCAGCACTATACGGGGTGCTGCTATAGGCGCTGTAGTAGGAGCTGTAGGAGTAAGGGCTGACGGGGATGCTGTACGGCGCTGGGTACGGTTGGGACCCCCCCAGGCAGGGTTTGCCGTCCCGGACCAGCACAGGCACGGCCACTCTGTGCGGGGGGGAAGCGGGTGGGCAGCCAGCTCCAGGGATTTGTCCTGCCTCTGCCTCTTGCACTTGTACCTGCGGTTTTGGAACCAGATTTTCACCTGGGTGGAGGTGAGTTTGAGGATGCTGGCGAGATGCTCCCGTTCCGGAGCAGAGAGGGATTTCTGTTGCTTAAATCGTCGTTCCAGTTCAAACACCTGAGCTTGGGAAAATAAAACTCGGGGTTTTCTCCGCTGGCGTTGTTTGGGATGGTGGCAGGGGTCGGTTTTCTTCTCGTCTACCTCGAAGGGGTGGGCAAGCAAACATTTT